TTTTGCGTGCGAGCAAACAATGGGTTGATTCTAAAAGGGATAGGCATTTTTCAACGGAAGTGCATGAGGGACCAAAAATATGACCTCATTTTATTCGTTTGATAGATATCGTATTATTCGTTGTTGTTCGTTCGGTGAAATTTCCTAATATTTGATTGTTGTGTTTCTAATTAGAGCACCCCATAATCACCCAATATGAGGGGATGATAAATGAAAGATACTGATTATAAATTTTAAAAAGCCCGTGGCAACGCACGGGCGTTATACTAGTACTAGCTAGTGCTACTAGTAGAATCGTGTCTTGTCGATCTCTACACGGTCGGTTGTGCACATGAATTAGTTTCCCGGGATAATTAAGATACATGCGCGTGGTCGGCGGACAGCCGGGTGTTTCCTTTCTCCAACCCACCCAACCCAATCTAGCATTACGCCGTGAGCTTCGACCAGTCACTCGGTTTATTGCGCCAACAAATGACGTTTCTGGGTTACTTCGGGCCTAAATGGAAGCCGAGACGAGGCACTCGGCATGGATCCGGCTCCTCTGACATACGGCCAGTGCCGTTGGGCCACTGACATATGGGCCAGGTTTCTGGCGGACCCATGTGTCAGTCAGCGGAAGGCAGGGTGTCGAACAACAGGGGATCCTCGTCCACTCAGCATACATATGTGATGATATTCTCACGGGCACTCAGTTTACTGTATTGACCTGGGTTTTATATTCAGGCACGCGAAATCTGAAAACTGACCTAAAACCGGAAATCCCGGTGTTTTCCGAAAAGTACTAGTACAGTCAAAATTTTAAACAGATTTGAATTCAAACACCCAGAACTCTATCAAATAATGCGTGTATGCACGTCATGCCTCAAGGCATCCCCTAGCTTGGTGGCGAAGCTCGTCACGGGGTCGATTCTATCGATCTGTGCCATTACATTTACTTCTGCAACGTTAGCTGTTTTTTCTGAAACTGGACCTCCGAGTCCATTAAACGGCTTACCAAGCACGATTGCTAGCAACCAAGAACTGAGCAAAGTTAGGAACATCACCGGGCCATACGGCTTCTGATTGATGCTCCGTCTTTGATCAGGACATTGTCCTTTGTAGTGACTGATTGATACGTACCGTTTGTGTGTTTCCCGTACAGCGACGCACTACTAGCAGAGTAGCATACACAATTAGGTTCTGGAGCACTAAATAGATATTTGTGCTAGTACTAGTACTATTCGTTTGAAAACTGTATACTACAAGTATATTATGATCGGCGTAGTTGTATCTGTACTAGTACTGTACTTTCTAACAAGTGTTTGTCCTGATCTATAACTGATTAATCCGCATGACTGACAAGGAAAAAGCGGCGCTTATCATTTTCCCTAATCCTCGATAATGATCTCGGAACAGTAACCTTTTTTTTGGCAAGCCTGGATAGTAAAAATTATCAGTCTAAACGTGGAGACTCCGCTAAGGAACAGTGACACCGAGTAACCCAGCCCTCAATGAATTGACTGAAAGCAGCGCGGGAGCGTCTACAACCTTATTACACGCCCGTGAGCAATGAGAAATAAAAAACGAACTAAAAGTCTGAAAGCAAAGGCTCGAATATCCCCCATTCGGGGTTAGATCGAACTCCGTCGATTTGATTGCATGGACAAGCTGCAATGCATCAGATTCCACCACCACAATGGTTATCCCCCATTCTACACGGAAAAAAGATAAAAGATGCAGCAGACTAGCGGAGAGACTCGAACTCGCAAACTCGGGCCTGGGGTATTTAAACACCTCCTGCCCTCGTCTTCTCATCCTTCTCTAACAACCAGAGGGAGACCTCGACGACACTCTCTACCGACTCAACTCTGGGATATTTCCTGTTGTTGGAAGAATGTGGAAGGTATATATGGAGCGTATGTGGGGCAGTATGACACCTATTCCACGACATACTTTCTATTTTTCTTCCCACCACGGGAAATATGCCGGAGATGAATGTTTAGAAGCTACATGTCCTTTCATCTCTAGACCCGGGGTTCCCGGATCGAACGATGGCGACACTTTAGGCGTCGTTCTCCCTCATGGGGGCATTGTTTTTGGAGCAGCGGCTGGATGGAGGAGACAAGTGGTGGAGCGGTTTTTCATTTACCACATCAAAGATGGCGGATCTCGGCGGCGTGGTGCAATGGGGATTCGATGTCCGATGCAAGGAGATGGACTCGCGCAGGAGGAGGACGCTGTCTGGCGTCATGGTGGCGTCGATGGCAGAGAGGCCTAGCAAGGTCGGTGCATTAGTTTTTGCTCTGAAGATGGATTGGTGGAAGATGGCGGCGACAACACATGAGAGTGCGTCAGACCGGTGTATACCCCAAACCCAGTATGTGGCTTGGTTGGGGCCTCCGGCATTAGATGTTAGGCATTTGTGCGATGTCTGTTTGGTATTAGGCTCGGACTATCGGCACACCTTCATCAAGTGGATAGAAATAGTGACATATGTTGCTAGGATGGTGGCTTCAGAATATCTGATGTACTACTTTGTAAGGTCTTTGTGAATAATTAATAAAATGGCTGCATGCATCGCTCAGATGCAGAGGCCGGGGGTAATCCTCCTTTTCTAAAAAAATGTCCTTTCATCTCTGAACATACAAGCTTCACCTGGATTCCCTCGGCACTGCGCCGCTGTCTCCCCGAAGCTAGGGATGGAGGAGCGTACCCTATTCCGCGGCCAGGCACCCGGGGAGGCCGCCCCTGCTCGCCCCTCCGGGGGACGAGGCTGCTGCTAAAGTTGGTGAGCCGTCGCAGCCCTGTTCGTTTCTAAATCTCTCTCGATCCAGGATTCATGGTTGGTGAGCTGCACCCCCGTTCGCTTTTCTTTCTATTCATGCTTACGAATTTGAGTCTCGCTGTTGTGATATTATTATTAGGCCACCCCCTGATGTGTGCTTCTGAGTTTGATTGAGGCCACTAATTACTCTGCAGTCCTGTAAAAAGAGTACGCATCTCTGTTTTCTTCTTTCAGTATTATCAAAGAAGAGTTGTCTCCCATGCAGTTCAAAGGATTTACAAGCCATGTCAGAGGATTCTGCTAAAAGGTTGCTACAACAGGTTTTTTTTTCTTTCTTCGCATACTTTGTTATGGTGAAGAAACTTGATTAAGACCGGTTGTTTCGTTCACTGAGCCCCTTACAAACAGGTGGCTGGTTGGGAGCTGAGAAATGAGGGTGACATTCTGAAATTACACAGGGCATGGAAGGTGAAGAAGTTTGCGAAAGGGCTTGACTTCTTTCAGCTTGTTGCTGCTGTTGCCGAGGAACAAGGTCTCCTTTCTTTTGCTAGCTATGTTCTTCATATTCACATTGTCTCATTGCTTAGTATTCAACTCTCCTTAAAAAATAATCTGATGGAAGTAATGACCAATTGACTTCCTGTCCTACCAGTCCCATGTCCTCACCGTATTGCATTTTAAGATTATCACTGTTACATACAGACCACAACAAGTTGATGCTGGCAAAAAATATATCTCAATCCAAATTGTTGTTACATTTCTAGAGGACAGTACTCCTTGAATTGGTCAAGACATTTTGTATTTCACCCAGAATCCAACAAATTTCTTGGCATGATTTTTTTTTGTTTCAGTAACAATCTTGGCAAAGTATGTTTAAATGGGTATGCTCTTCCAGGTCACCACCCAGATCTTCACCTTGTTGGTTGGAATAATGTGAAAATTGATGTGTGGACTCACGCAGTCAGTAAGTGTCCCATATGGTTATTTTGGCTAATTTATTTTGACTACACAATTCACTCTAGGATTTCATGTATTATCTTTTAGTCGAATCTCTCTTTTAAAACTGGAGTACTTGTCCGAAAATTCAGAGGAGTGCTCGTCCTCGCCTGGTCACGTTATCGTGCACCGTTCGACATCTATGAGATCTGACACAGCGTCGGTTGTGGGGCAGAGTTGCTTTTAATGCACTAACGGGTGGAGAACTTAGTGCCGTAATGTCGTTTGGATGGCCGTCTAGTGACCAGAGTTGCGTTTTGTACTGGCGACCCAGTTTGACGTGGGTTGCACTGGGGCTGTTTGGCCGGTCTGCAAAATCATTTCGAAAGCCCTGTTCCCACACATCGCCACTGGACATACTATGCCTCTTGAAGTTACACGTTTATTCAGCTAGCACAATCCCATAGTTACACAAATTCAGTTCTCAGGTCTCACACCACACAGGAAAATGTGATACAACAATTTTCTACAAATCATTATACCCTAATGAAAAAAGTCCATTTTACTCCCCTGAACAAAGTGGGTGGTTCACTTTACCCCATGATCTATATTTTGGTTCCTTCCACACCCCAAACAAAACCAAACCGGACGAAAACCCTCCCGGCTGGTTTGTCTCCATTGGATGCTGATGTGGCACAGTCAAAGGGCGGTTTTGACCGCGGTGGGGCCTACTTGTCAGGTTGGACTGTTATAGAGCTGCCGTTCCCCGTTGCGATCTGGATCAGAAATCCCCCCTTCCCAGTCCAAATCCCTAACCCTATTCTCCATGGGCGGCGGCAGCGTGAGCTCCACCACCGTGTCGCCGGACGCTGTGAGCGCCGCTGGCGATGGAGGCGCGGCCCCGGTCGTCGCAGTAGCCCAGGCGAGCCGTAGCTTGCTGGAACGCCGGTTCCTGCAGGAGGTGTGGCGGCAGGGAGAGTCGGAGCTCCGTCGAGAGGCGAGCCATGTCCTGATCTCCCGCACTCCGGCCATGGATGCGCTGGAGCTGCGCTTCGGGTGGCACGTGCTTCTGGCAACTGCGGTCGGAGATGGCGAGCAGACAGTGACGCCGGCAGCCATGCTGGCGATCTTGCAGCAGCATTGCGGGGTGGTGCCATCCGAGGTGGTCGTCGAGTTCGCGTGCCCACCACACGACCTGTGGCTGACCTTCTCGACGGAGGAGAAGTGCTCTGAGGTGCTCCTTTCGTCAATGAAGATCAAGTGTTGCCGGCGTTGGATTTAGTTTTCGCGTTGGTGCAGAATGGTTCGATCTCAGCCAGGTGCTCTGAAGTACAAGAGCAAGCTCGGCTTTGAAGGCCTCCCAAACCAGGCCTGGACGACGGCGTCCGTGAAAGATGTTCTCAAGCAGCTGGGTGGCGAGCTGATCGAGATCCTGCCGCCGGCAAGCCGCCGCGAGCTTGAGGTCATGGCGTGGCTTCGTGACCCTTCCTTTGTTGGCAAGGTGGTGACAGTGGAGATACCTGAGCCGAAGCTGACAAACAAGCCACCCGAGTCCATGGATGAGTATGAAGCAATGCAATTCGAATTGGGTGAATACGGACCGTCGTCGCCGAGGAAGAAGAACAGCTTACTGTATCCTGACATTTGCCACATGAAGGAGGTTGTTGATCGTGGTCCTCTGCTTGTTGAAGGACTGCCTGATGAGTGACTGCCAGGAGAAGGCGAGGACCTGACTCGCAAGCATATCTTCAAGACTGTGCTGGGCAAGATCGACGGCACTGACGGTGATGAAGGAGTTTGAGTTTGTGTCATGTTATATTTGGCACTTTGGCTTTCCACTTGGTTTGTTGTACTGTGTTAACAATCTGTAGTGTTGTACTGTGTGTTCAGTTCTATTTTATGCTCGTTGTTGTGGTGAAGCAACTGTACTGCCAAAATTGTCCCAAATATTTGTGTAATGTGCTGGTACTATGTTGTCTTGTGAAATGGTACAATTGTGAGCTTATTTGTTTGTGCCAAAAGTGAACATATTTTGCCAAGCTTCTATCGAAAGGAAATTTCTTTCAAAAGAGAACATAGTAAACAGTAGCATTCAACTAAACACAAATTCTGTAGCTTAGCAGTAACAAACACTAGTTCCTCAAAAACAAATTGTGCAGTTTAACAGCAACAAACACAAGTTCATCAAACAACAACAAACACAATTTGAAGGCTCTAAACAACAGAAATTTTCCCGCTTAACCCCTCAGTTCATCAAACATGCTAACCCTGGTAGATTTCCTCCTTCTATGACTAGAACTAGCACCAACTGTTCTGTTTGCTTGCTTTGGAGGCCTTCCCCTTCTAGGCTGTGCTGTCCCTCCTGTAGCTTGCTGTGAAGGCTGTGCTGTCCCTCCTGTAGCTTGCTGTGAAGACTGGGCTCTCCCTCCTGCAGCTTGCTGTGATGTTTGAGTTGCATGCTGTGAAGACTGGGCTGTAGCAGTTTCATTTGCTACTCTTTGAGATGTCCTTGGAGGATTTTCCTACACAACACAGAAAAGTAACAGTTGTTAGGTGTTTCACATTGCTGCAATTTCACAAGTACAAAACATATAGAAATTAAACATATGTAAAAATCATTACACACTTTTGTTTCTTTTTTCCTCTTCCTATTCTTGTACTTTCCCTTGTTGGGGTTAGTATTGCATTTCCTCATGTTGTGCCCAGGATTTCCACATAAACTACACTTGATCTTAGTCCCAATCTTGGAGAGTTTGTGTGCATGCTTAGGAGGCTCATCTCCACCTCTTATTCTCTCTGTCCTGGGCCTCCCAGGCATTTGCACATAGCTTGGAACTAATGGTCTAGGTCTGTCAGATATTGGCCAGCTAGGCATGCCCTCCATTGGCATCATGACATGTTCATATGGGCCACACTGTGAAGCTGCTAGAGCATGAACACATGGAATTCCTGACAATTGCCAGTATCTACAAGAACATGTTCCTGCTTGCAAGTCAACTTTGAATCCATGCTGTCCTAACTTCACCTCATATCCATCTTTTCCATTCCATATTGTCTCACACTTCTCAGTAAGTTGTATCAACTTGTTCAGGGCCACACTGTGAAGCTGCTAGAGCATGAATACATGGAATTCCTGACAATTGCCAGTATCTACAAGAACATGTTCCTGCTTGCAAGTCAACTTTGAATCCATGCTGTCCTAACTTCACCTCATATCCATCTTTTTCATTCCATATTGTCTCACACTTCTCAGTAAGTTGTATCAACTTGTTCACCCTTTTGAGGATTTTGGGACAAATTGTTCCATTCCAATTGGCAGGCATAGCTCTATTAACTTGAATCCTAACTGTCACCTTTGCTCTGATGGCTTCAAACATACTGATGATCGGAAGACCTCTATATTCCACTATCCAATTGTTAAAACTTTCACACATATTGTTGTCGACTGAATCACAGAATGATCCTTCTTTGAACCATGCTCTACACCAATGTTCAGGCCCAGCCTGCATCATGTCTCTTGCTCCTTCTGGTGTGAGCTGAGCAAGCTTTGCCCTGCTCAAATTAAACTGAACTCTATTAGAAGACTTTGCACAAGCCCAAAATCTCTTCTGGTATTTCTGGTCCCTATGTTTTTTCTTCCAGTTAGCATAAATGTGCCTAGCACAATTTCTGTGTTCAGCTCTTGGTACAACCTTTGAAATTGCATTGATTAGACCTTTCTGCTGATCTGATATAAATACCCAGCCTTCACCTTGATTTGAAATCTCCAAGTCTTTATTTAACAGTGCCATAAACCAAAACCAGGAGTCCTTATTTTCCACCTCAACTGCCGCCCAAGCAATGGGATACATTTGCCCATTTGCATCTCTTCCAAGAGCACATAGTAGCTCTCCACTTTGAGCCCCCTTAAAGAAGCAGCCATCCAAACCCACTACTTTCCTGCACCCTTCTATGAAACCTCTCTTGCAAGCCTGAAATCACACATACAATCTCTGAAAAACTGGTGCAGTTTCTTTTGGATTAAGCACAACTGCCACAGTGCTTCCTGGATTGCTCCTCAATATTTCTAGCTGATAATCAAACACCCTGGCATATTCTTCATGCATTGCTTCTCTAACTCTCTTTCTGACTATTGCTTTTGCTTTCTTTATTTTGAAAACATGCACATATGCAAACATCTCTAATCTACAGTGGCCTTAAATAGATTTCACTTTCCATCCTGGATTTGCCTTCATAATTCTCTCATACTTGTCTGCAATTCTAGGTGCAGTAACCAATCTGTTGTCTCTCCTCTGTGGGCATATGTGGTTGTCAACAAGTGTCATGACTTGAAACCAATCATTTGAGCTCCTCTTTGCACCATAAATCAACCAAGGACACTTAGGCCAAGAACATTTTGCCCTAATCCTACCAGCCTCATCTTTTACAAAGCAAATATGCCTCTTCATAGCCAGGCCATACTTCACGAGTGCCCTCTTGAACTGACTTCTTCCTCTAAATGTCATGCCCAAACTGAATATTGGAATTGCAGCCTTGCTATCAAATCTTGGAAATCTTGATTTCATCCTAAATGAATTTCCATGCTCATCCTCATCATAACTGTATTCCTCACTGGAATCCATGTATCGAGTGTCATTTCCTTCGTCCATTTCATCAAAAGGAATTAACTGTGTTGTACTTTCTTTCACTTCCTTCTCTTCATCAAGTGGCAACCCCATTCTGATCTTTCTGAGCACTTCCTTAGCATGCTTTCTGAGCTCCTCTGCCTCATCATCTTCACCTGAACTGTCTTCATCTTTAGGGCACCAATCAAGATTTGCACATTCATCACTTATTTCATCAGGTGCAACATCTACTTCAAGAACATTTCCAGTTTCAGGTTGCAATTCATCTTGTACAGCATACTCAATCTTGTCAGGCTCATCCACATCTGCCTCTGAACTATGCTCTAGGTCATCCTCAGCAGAGCAATTGTCATGCTCATCTTCCCAATCACTGTCACTCTTCTCTTCTGTCTTGTCTTCTTCAATTGCAGCATTAGTTTCCTCTTCCTCTTTCTCTCCAATATCAGACACACTGTTCTGTCCATCTTCATCAACATCATCTTCATAATTCACATACACATCCACAACCCCACAATCTGTAATACACCTATCCATGAAGAACACATTTCTATCAGTGTCCAGTCGTCTCAACCCATCTCTAACATTTTTTCCAGGAAACAACCAGTAAAGCCTGTGCTTCTCTGTTAGCTCTTCACCATGATAGGCCATCTTTATATCTGCTAACTGCTCCCTGACAGTAGCTAAGGATATATTGTACCTCTCAACAGATGTGAGTTGTATATTACCACCAACATATGACAATTGCTTGTTTGACTTCTCAAATTGGCCATTGTAAAAGAAACGGATGCCTAACCAATCTAGTTGATCCATTGCTTAACCTACAGATTAAAACAACGTTCAATCTTCAATTAGAACCTACATACAGCAGCTAACTAGAGCAGAGTAAGTACACCAAGGGAAGGGGATTGGAGGGATGGGACTCACCTCAGTTCGTCTGCGCCGCCGCGAAATCAGATAGACCGCAGCAGCCGCCGCCGCATCGACAGAGCCGTCGACCTAGGGTTTGAGGACGGGGGAGAGAGCGGCCGTGGGAGAAGGAAAAGGTCGGGGAAGATTGATGGGTTGCACCGCCGCCGCCGCCGCCACCACCAAGACTCCGACCACCGTTGCTGGTCGGATTTCAGCGCTGTCTCGAGGGAGCCATCGACGGTGACATAGGGGAGAAGAAGAAAGGGATTTCGATCTCTTTCTGATCCAGAACGCAACGGGGAACGGCAGCGTGTAACAGTCCAACCTAATGAGTAGGCCCCACCGCGGTCAAAACCACCCATTGACTGTGC